TGATGATGATGATGATGATGATGATGATGATGATGATGATGATGATGATGATGATGATGATGATGATGATGATGATGATGATGATGATGATGATGGATCAAGGGGAAAAAACAAGCAGTTAAGCGCACGTGGCCAGAAGAAAATCATATATTATAATGAGCTTTCTTCATCCGTAGATATATAGCGCAACCTGCCTTGGTAAATTGAATGCATTTTTCTTCATCGGAGAATAATATAATTTGTGGTAGGAGACTGAATTCTCCTAGTTTGGTGTGGTCACAACATAGATCTTATAAGGGATGAATCCAGTATCGACGATAATTGGAGAGATATTTCCTTTTGTACCACCACGTAAGAAAAATTTTGTATTTTTCTTGTCAGCGCCATTTTGCCCCACCACATGATAAACAGTGCGGATGGTGTGGATAAAGATGACTTGCACGCACAGAATTCTACACGTTTCTGTCTAGCTATTTCACGATGAGGAGCGCGGCGCAGTGGAGCGGAGGGTGTGGACACCTAGCCTAAAAGTAAAAGACTACCTTAAACCGATATAAATTGAATTAACTTTTTATATTTTTTAAAGAATGTGATTCTGTAAGATTGTCCAATAAAACGATAAAGGAGTGCAATTGCAATAATCATAATGGAAAACCGATCAGACGTTTCAAGTGAGAAGAAGAGAGATGAGAGTAAACAGTTAGATAGATCGCTTTTTGTCGCAGATCAAGTTTGATCAAGTGGTAGCTCTCCTACTACCGCTAAATTTGGTCACACAGAGAATTAAAGAGAGAGCTAGGGATAGGGTGGTGGGGGAGGAAAAGAAAAAGAATTTGCAGCGCTCATTTATTCATCTGACTCCCGATTCTAAGCAAGCTCGAGTAAATATTTAAGTAAGAAATGAGCTCCTTTCTTCAAAACGTACTACCATACACAGCAAGGAATCAGCGACGAAGCATCTACATAGTCTAGTCCAATAATCACTGCTCATGACTGCTCCCTTCCTGAATTTGGTAACATCGTCGCAGTCAAATTCTCCCACAGACCGTGACTGAAGTGAAACGATGAACTTAAAAAATAGACCTTCATGAAACGGATTCGATTAATGGAGGCGAGAGTCTACTCCCCAGGTTGTTGTTGTTGTTGTTGTTGTTGTTGTTGTTGTTGTTGTTGTTGTTGTTGTTGTTGTTGTTGTTGTTGTTGTTGTTGTTGTTGTTGTTGTTGTTGTATTT